TGGGTACTTCCTTCTCTATCAAGACCCCTCTAAAAGGCTAAGCTCGGATTGTTCTTTTCCGTAGGTGTACTTTGATCTCCAGATTGGAGATGAAGCTGTGGGCCGAGTGGTCTTTGGACTTTTTGGAAAGACAGTTCCAAAAACAGTGGATAATTTTGTAGCCTTGGCTACAGGAGAGGTAAGTGGCTGGTACAAAGGTAGCCAACTCCACGTGGTAGGGATGGAAGCAGCTGGGACTTCAGAGGGTGGCTTACACTGGCTTTTCACTATCTGGCTTCCCTGAGGACCAAATATTTTTGTATATTAAGAATAAGCAGGCTGGAGAAATGGCTCAGCAGTTAAGAGAACTGTCTGCCCTTCCAAAGGTCCTGAGTTCAATTCCCAGCGACCCCATGGTGGATCACAACCATCTGTAATGAGATCTGGTCCCCTCTCCTGGTGTGTACATACATGCAGGCAGAACACTGTATAATAAATAAATAAATCTTTAAAAAAAAAAAAGAATAAGCAGGTCCAGTTTTTAACTTTTGGAGAGGGCCCTGGAGAGCTGGTGTGACTTGCTCAAAGCCCCATTTGCCCACATCTTGGCACCACAGGAAGACTGAGCTGGCTCTTGCAACCCTGCTGTTAACTACAGCTATTCATAGCACACACACACACACAAAAAAATCCCAAGGCGCTAAAACTGGTAGCTTTACAGTTAAGGAAGATGTGCCAAATGGTTGAGTGGCTGCTGAGGTGTTACTGTGGTTTACATTGTGGAGAACACAGGCAAATATGGCTTTAATGTTTGAAGAGTAATCATTATTGTATCTTATTTGAGTTCTTAATTGAATGTTCTTAGAACACATGATGCCACTACTGCTGGAATAAAATAAGAACTATCAAATTTCTAAAAAGAAGAAAAAGGGTCCAAGGAACTTGATCTGAGAATATGGCACAGAATTTTAAAGAAACATACATTCTATTTTATGAAGTTTGTATTCTAACTTCTTTGTTCATTTTATTTTGTTTTTCCTGAGACAGTCTTATGTAGCCCCTGGCTGACCTTGAAACTAATGGTAGCCAGGGGTGATCTTGAGCTGATATGCTGCTCCTGAGTGCTGGGGTCACAGGCAGGCACCGCCATGCTCAGCTCACACGGTACTGTGTACCCAGGCCTGTTCACGCTAGGACAAACACTGCCAGCTGACCTGTATCCCCAGACCTCACATTTGTTCTTGTGATTAGAACAGAGAAGGAAAAGGCATGTCATGGCCTTGGGTTATATCATTCAGGAACTGTATAAGAGCAGGGGCTAGAGGTGTGGACTTTACCGGGTGTTTCTGCTTTGTGTTTGCCCCTCATTAAATGTGCCAGAAGGAGCTGCAGGTGAGGGACATCTGCCTCATTCTACCCTCTTGTCTTCTCATCCCTCTTTCCAGAAAGGATTTGGCTACAAAAACAGCAAGTTCCATCGTATCATCAAGGACTTCATGATCCAGGGTGGAGACTTCACCAGGGGAGATGGCACAGGAGGTAACTTCAGGTCCTCTGAGCAGAGGAGTCCTGACACTGCAGTGTTCAAGGGGGGTGGGCTGGTTAGCCGAGGCATCTTCTTTCTCCAGCTCTAGGGGCTGAGCTGAGCAGCTTCTCTCCTGCACTGAGGTTAGCTGCACCCTTCTTTGAAGAGGGAACCAGTGCAAAGGAGAGGGAGGTGGGAAGCAGGTAGACTTGTGCTCTCTTCCAGGTATCCACTGTTGATACAAGTCTACAGCTTGTACCACACATTCTATTGCCTGTATTACATGCGTGCACATAAAGCAAAAAGGCCAGCAAGGTGGGCAAAGGTACTTGCCGCCAAGGCTGATGACCTGACTTTGATTCCTGAGGCTCAAACACTGGAAGCAGAGAACTGATTTCTGCAAGGTATCCTCTAACTACTACACATACACTGTGGCAAGAACATGTGCACGCGAACACACACACACACACACACACACACACACACACACACACGAACTAAAAATATATAAAAGTTGGGGACTCCAGGCAAGAGTAGGGCTGTGTCTGTAACACCCACACTCAGGAAGTTAAGGCAGGAGGTTCCAGCATAACTTTAAGGCCAGCCTACTCTGTGTGAGAACTTGTCTGAAAAATCAAACACCAGGGGCTGGAGAGCTGACTCAGTGGTTAAGAGCACTGGCAGCTCTTGCAGGGGACCTGGGTTCGATTCCCACATAGTCACAACTGTTTGTAATTTCAGTTCCAGGGAATCTTGATACCCTCTTCAGGTCTCCTATGTGTGGTACACAGACATACATGTATCAAAACATCCATACACTTGAGACTTAAAAAACAAAGAAGAAAAAAGCTGGGTGTGGTGGCAGAGGCAGGTGGATCTCTGAGTTCCAGGACAGCAAAAGTACACGGAGGAACCCTGCCTCAGGAAGAAAAAAAAAAACAAAATTTAAATGACGACAGACAACAAAAATTGGTTGGCATGAAGCTTAACCGTTTGCAAGGCAGCTGGGTGGAAGTTCCGGGACAGAAGATTAAGTGGGATTGATACTTACCATCATAAAGATGAAAATGCAATTTATTTATTTATTTTGTGACTTGAGAGCTCCTTGTGCCTTGGAGAAGAAACTAAGGGTGTAGATTGGGCTTTTTGAATAGGAATAATTGAAATCCTGTGGCTGCCTAAGGTTTCCAAGGAAGTTTCTCACTTAGGAAGTTTGGCGATCAGTGCCCAGCCAGACGTCATTGCAGGAAATAGGCCGCCTCACTCCGACCTGCCTCCCCAGTTGCTGCACAGTCAGCCACATCCTCCTGATCAGTCTCAGACCAGGGCAGTCACTGACCTGAGGCACCCTGAGGAACTGTGGACCAGCACAGGTGTGCTGACAGCAGAGGTTTGCGTGCAAGTGAATCGAAAGGCCCTGAGCCAAAGGAAATTAGTTACTGTGTGTGGGCTGGCACTCAGAGATCTGCCTCCCGAGAGCTGGGTTTAGTGTTACTCTCTGTCACACCTGATCATTTATAAGCATATGTATGAGGTTGGTAAGCACATGCCGTTGTGTGCATGTTAAAGTCAGGAAAACCTACAGGAGTCTGTGCCAGGCAGCTAGTTGCCTTATGTGCTAAGCCATCTCACCAGCCTGAGAAGATGCTGCTTCAGTGCTAGTATTCACAGGACCATTAGTCCACTGATGGGTAATGGGGAAACCAACGTTGTAAGCAGGACCTTGGGAATTGTGTAAAGCTCTGTACTCGCTGTCCTGGTCCCTGGACCCCTGCTTCACAAGACAGTGACACACGTTCATAAGCATCTTTTATTTTATGGTCCTTGGTAAGAGGCTCTTGGCTCTTAAAAAAACAAATAGCAGCCCTATTTCCTATGTTTCCTCCACCAACCAACCCCATCTGCTGTTCAGCTTTGCAGCTGCAGCAATCTTGTAACCCTGGAAAGATCATCCAGGTGACTACAGCAGCCCTTTTCTGAGAGTTCCACACTCCCACACCCAGCATCCTGCATGCACCAAGGCCTCTCTTTCAGCCTGGCCTCATTCCCCAGGTGGTCTCAGTCCCAGTGGCTTGGGTAGAAGGTAAGAAGGCTGTTTATGTCCTTGTTTGCCACTCAAGCCTTCCCCGACAAGGACAGCCTGAGCCCTGTAGACCCTCCCCCAACTGTCTGCCTGTTTCAGGTCAGCCCGCTTTCCTGACCTGCTCTGACTTTTTCCAGGAAAGAGCATCTATGGTGAGCGATTCCCAGATGAGAACTTCAAGCTGAAGCACTATGGGCCTGGATGGGTGAGCATGGCCAATGCAGGCAAAGACACCAATGGCTCCCAGTTCTTCATAACTACAGTCAAGACGTCCTGGCTAGATGGCAAGCATGTGGTTTTTGGCAAAGTTCTAGAGGGCATGGTAAGTTTGGAAGTAGGGGCTAAACCTTGATAGTCCTCACCCAGGAGCCAGCCTGAACAGGCCAGGGCTTCAAGTAGGAAATTTTTTTCCCAAAGGCACCTATGCCATTGATGTAGCCCAGCACTGGTGCCTCCTAACCTGGTGTCCTGGCATAGGGGAGGGGAAGTGCCAAGAATAAACAGCCTGAACATCCCTAAGGTCCTAGCTGTGTGGGAGGCTGAGGCAAAAGGATCACTTGAACTCCCGAGTCCATAGGCAGTCTGGACCACAGGAGACCATATTCAGAGTATCCCTGTGGCTGGCTCCGAGAGACTGCTTAACCTAGCATGCATGAGGTTTAACTCCCAACACCACAGCCAGGGGGGGTGGGGGGAATGATATCTAGCCTATATCTCCATGCCCCCAAGGTTCTAGGTCCTTTCAGGCCCCCAGAACCCATCCAGAAGACCTGGTTGAATTTGTTGGCTGCAGGCTCCTCTGTTCAGCCACTCACTGAATCAGGGATGTTGAGACTTCCGCACCCATGCAGTATTGGGTCAGCTATCCAACATCCATGTTCTCCATTCACTGCAGCCATCAGCTCCTGTCATCCTGTATGGCTTCAGCCCTTCTAACCCTCTCAGGGTTGTATCCCAGTATTGTGCCTCTCGGCCCCACCCCATCCAAACTCTCCTTTCCTGCCTTTTCTAGGATGTGGTCCGGAAGGTGGAGAGCACCAAGACAGACAGCCGGGACAAGCCCCTGAAGGATGTGATCATCGCAGACTGTGGCAAGATCGAAGTGGAGAAACCCTTTGCCATTGCCAAGGAGTAGAGAGCCTCAGGGACCTCATTCCGCCAAGCAGCTGTCTGTGCGGGCCCTGTCACTACCCTCACAAGAGTGAAGGTAGCCAGTCACAAGGTTCCGCGCCGCTCTGGCCCCAGTGCTTCCATCTGACGGGGTGCACCCACACCTCACATTCCACAGGCCTGGTTTTATATCAGACTCCTACCAATGCTGATCAATAAAAAGTGGGGGTTTTGTTTTTTTACATAACTTAGGTGTGGCTGTGTTTGGGGGTTGTATATAGCACCTGTCCTGCAGCCTGGGACTCTTGTGTGCTGACAGATGCATGCCTCTTCATTGGGTTCGTGCCTCAGCTGATACCTAGGTTCTGTCTACCCTGGTCGTCAGGCTTTCTAGCTGCCACCATGCCTCACCCTGCTAGCTTCTGCCACCCGCCAGCCTGGGCTAGAAAACCCACCCGAGTCTCCTCAGCCTACCTCTGAAATTACTTTGCACTTCTTTATCTTGACTTTGCATTGACCCTGGCTCTAAGGATCTTGAGTTCTGCAAGCTACAGCTCTCAGTGCATGCCAGTTCAGAGCCCTGAGTGCAGATGGGCACAACTGAGCCTCGCCTAGTTACACCTGAGTCTAGTCCAAGGGAAAACCCAGGCTCTTACATGGAACTCCCAGGACTGAGACACACAACTATCCTGACTGGTGGCCCAAAGCCGGGCTAGTCAGGCCGTTGGCGATGGAGCAGGATGACAGTTAGCCTTTGGCTGGGCTGGTGCTGGGCCAGTGCTGAAGCCATAGAGACCCTGGAGCACACCGGTCACCACCACTTCTGCGAGAGGATCTGTGGGAGAGAAAGTGGAAGGAGGACTAGTGTGTGGTCTGCCTGGCCTTGGGCCTGGAGCACTCTGGCTCAGCTGTCTACCCAAAATGAGGCGCTGTTGGCCTTCCCTAGGCCACATTCTGTTCTTACTAGCTTTTGAAGACAGGCCCTAGAGGAGCAGAGACCAGGCGAACCAGCTGTATTGCACTAGTTTCTATGAAGCAAATTACAAAGCAGGCTACAGAACAGCAGGGGGTAGCCCCCAGCGGACATGTGCGGGGGGGGGGGGGGGGAGCTGGGGGCTGGTGACGGATGTCTCACCTGGGGAAGGAGTGTAAACGTAAGGATCCATACAGAAGCCAATGACGGGCTGGTGGTGCAGCTGTGAGCTGTGAAGAAGAAAGTTGTGAACCATTAGAGGTGGCAGGGCAAAGACACACATGGGGTTGACGCCAGGGACCAAAATAGGCGCCCACACAAAAAAAGAGGACTAGAAAGCAGGCTGCTGGCCTGCCTCCTCGCACACGACCACTAGGGGGCAGCAGGCCTTCAGGGCAGGACTGTGACTTGCCTGGTGTCGCTAGGTAGGAATTCCCCCGGGGTGCTGAAAAGAGAAAACGCTGTAAGCTGCTTGAGGATACCCAGGGGAGGTGAGAAGGGGTTGAAGACGGAATAGCCCAGGGGACTGTTGCTTCTATTTTGTAACAAGCCCATTTCCAGAGGTGGAGGCCCTGATGTAGTAGACAAAGTGGTCCAAAAACCAGCCCCTCCACTAGGGTCAAGATGAAGGAGGCTGCGGAGAACAAGGCTAGGGCCCAGCACACTTGAAAATGAATAAGGCTTGTCCTTCGGGATCTTTTTACAGCTTCTTCCTGCTGAGAGCCCTTGCCACACCCCGGCGCAGCAATCCTTACCTCCAGCTACTGGCCTTGGGGTCTGGAGGGAAGTGTCTAAGTCTCAGAAATTCCAGTAACTCCTTGGGCACGTCCTGATTCAGGTACAGGATGCCCTAGACAAGAAGAAAGGAAGCCTGCGATCAGATCCAGCTACTAATTGCACAAACCCTTGCAAGCAAAAGTTTAAGGACTTCTGTTCCAAAATAATTTCGAGACAGTGGAAACAAGTATTATTATTAGACCAGGCTCGAGTATAGACTGGAAGAACTGGCCCCATGAAGTGGGTAGGCTGGTCCAGTAATGGACATTAGTGCACACACACACACCTCATGAAATAACACAGAATCTTACCCTAGGGGTGAATCTTACTTGTTGGATGATTCAAAACTTTAAATAACCCAGATAGAAAAGTTGGTACTCAATTGTTTGGGATAATGGAGCCTTGGATGGTGAATAACAACCCCAAGTTATGCCCCCCCCATCTCTAACTGGGTCACCCTGGTCCCTCAGGCTAGGGGCAACCAAGTGTGCCCGTGCACACCTGGATATAGGTCTCCAAGCCCTGCCGGCGCTGCTCCAATCCTCTGGTCCTCCAGTTGGGCAGGCGTTTGGAGGGAAAGTCGGGCACTTTGTACCGTTTCTTGATCTGTCCATCAGTTACCGAGGTGAGATCCCAGCAAAGCCCTCAAGCCCGCTGCACCTAGCAGAGGGCTCTCCCCAGTCCTCTCTGTATACCTTTAAGCTTTACCCTGAGACAGCTAGTGAGAGGTGGCTGGGACAGAAATGACAAGCCCGAGAGTCAAGGTCGGTCTGAGCTGGAACCTAGCCACTGCGTCCTCCCCGCGAGGGGCCCCGCAGCCCTGGGGTGGTCGCCCACGGGCTGCATCCTCCCGGGCCTGGGGCAGTGGTGGGGGTGGCCAGCCGAAAGCTGGGGCCTGGCCTGGAGCCAGATGGGTGGGTAGCCCGCGCCGCCTCACCCGCTTGTGGAGAGCGTGGAACTCGCTGTAGCGCCTCGGCACGGTGTGTCTGCGTCCGCTGTAGAGCACCTCCACTTGGAACACCTGGCGGGCGGACGAGCGCGGGCGGCGGGTCCAGAGGTGCACCAGGACCCGCGCGCGAGACGCGCCCACTTTCTGGTCTTTGAAAGGCACAAAGCCGACTTGGCTTGTCTCCGCTCAGGGAAACTCCTCCCGCACCCCACACACCTGAAAGAAAAGGCTGACGGGCCCTCCCCCTCGGCCCCCCGCGATCCCTCCAGAGCCTAGACCGGGGACTGGCAAAGCCAAGTAACCCCGAACCTTTGCGACAAAGGTCCCAGCCCGGATTCTGGGTCCCTTTCTGCGCTCGTCGCGGGGGTACTCGGCGTATCCCTACACGCACTCTCCATCCATCGCTCACCATGTGGCCTTTCTCCGGACTCTGCCTGCGCCCTTCGGCCTCAGGCCCCGCCGAGGGGATGTGAACTTCCAGCATCCGCGCCCCGGCCCCGCCGCAGCCTCTCCGAGCTTCCCGGCGCTGTCACCCGAACTCCCTGGAGCGGCCGGGCGGCCCTGCGAGGTCGCCCCGCCCCCGGGCTCCGGCCCCGCCCCCGGCCGCAGGCCCCGCCCCACTCTCCGGATCTTCACCCCCACAGGCTCCACCCTCTGGTCCAGGACCCCGCCCTCGCCCCGCCCGGGGCGTTTCCTGGCGCGCTGAAGTCCTGAGGCCAGAAGATAACATCCTGTATCTAGCGAGGGAGGGCTCCGTGCCGGGGAGGAGCCCTCGGTAGGGTCACTCGATTGTCAGACATTTCCCTAGGCTCCACTGCCTGCCGCGCATGCAGCGGAGGTAAAATTTCACCCGGTCTTTCGTTGAGTGCCCTAGATCCTGTGGTGCCAGCTGAGGGCGCAGCTGGCGTCCAAGCCTGGGCGTCCCCCTAGGACCACCCTTGCTCTCAGGGAACCTGACCATGCCATCCTTCCCCGCTTTCAGGTGGGGTCACCGCCTGGAAACTCCTACCGAGGCAGTGCCTGGGTGAGGCTGAGATTCATCTAGCTTCGATGGGCACCTGCAGACCCTTCATTCATTTCTTCCATCCCTCCATCCACTAATCCTACCCAATTTGCTTCAAGCTGGTGCGTGGGAAAGAGGCAGGAGTTTAAAAACTCGGGCTGGTCAGCTTTGAAAGTCACACAGTCTGGATATCAGGAGAGAGAGAGGTGGTGGCTTCCTTACGGGCTTGTTCCGGGTGGTGATACGTAGCTAATAGATCACGGTGGTGGCATCACGCTGCCCTTATCTACCCTGCTGGTCTGTCTCGGAATTTCTAGGTAAGTTATCTCTGTGTAGCCCTAGCCGCCCTGGAACTCAAGCTGTAGACCAGGCCGGCCTCCAACTCTGCCTGCCTCTGCCTCCCAAGTGCTGTAATTAAAGGCGTTCGACACCACTGCCCAGCTATAATAGGATTTAAAAACAGAACTCTCACTTTCAGGCGCTAAAAATAGAAACGGCTTTCATGTCTGTCTCGGCCCACACCCCTCACTCAGCTTAGGTGAGCGGCTGCTGGTCAGCAGCGCCGTGTCAAGAATTCTACCCTTGAACTGGCTGTGTGCGATGGCTGTTCCCAGCGGTCAACAAGGCTACATCTGGAAGTAACTAAAAACCGAAGCGGCTAGGCACACGGCTGAGGGATTCTGAGTTAACTGGATCATTTTAGGTAGGAAGACCCTCCTGTCTCGGGGCTCTCCCATGGCAGCCTAAGTGAAGGAAGGACATGGAAGGAGGAGTCCTGCTTTCGGCCTGCTCATCCTCACTCTCCGTCGGGGTCAGATCCTGCTCTCCAGGCTTTCCACTGGAGTCCAAACACACCCTGACGTGCAGCTGAGACATCCAGCCTCATAGACTGAACAACTACTGGATTATTGGACTTCCTGTAAGTAGACAGCCTCTGTTGGACTAACTGTGCCACAGCCTGGTAAGCCACTTCAATAAATCACACACACACACTTGGAGAGGGGGAGACAGAGACAGAGAGAAAGAGAGAGAAACATTCTGTTGGTTCTGGTCCTCTAGAGAACACTGACTAATACATTTGTGTAACTGGATGTGGGTGTCTTGAAATTTTGGCAACAACAGAAAGTTTCTATATAGACATATGAAACAACTAAAACTTTTTAAACTCCAACATGTAGTGTCTGGCAGCCCTTGACCACACGCCTTTGGCCCGTGCACCCTGCAAAGTCATTTCAGCCTCAGCTGCAAACACACGTCACCCTGCACATGCTACCAGTGTGCACGCCTGAAATCCTTCAGCTGTCCCTCGAGATTATTGCTTACTACCGAATCGCTGCGCTTTGCTTGTTTGTTTGGGATTTCTGTTGTTGTTGTTTCAGGACAGGGTTTTTCTGGGTCGCTCTGGCTGTCCTGAAACTCACTCTGTAGACCAGGCTGGCCTCGAACCCAGAAATCCACCTGCCTCTGCCTCCTCAGTGCTGGGACTAAAGGCATGCGCCACTGCCACCCAGCAAATCGCTGGTTTTGTTAGTTTGTTTTTGTTTTTAATGCACAAAGTTTTCTGCTCTTATAAACACATAGTGGTTTCATTTAAAAAAAAAAAAAAAAAAAAAAAAACAAAGAGTTGTCCTGTGCCTTTCTAATATGGTGGCATGTAGGTAGGAGCTCTCTTTGTCAACATGACCCAAACTAGAGCCACCCGAGAAGAGGAACCTTAGTTGAGAAAATGCTACCCATAGAATGAGTGCAGGTAAGTCTGCATTTTCTTGACTAACGATTGCTGTAGAAGGGCCCGCCCCGCTCTGGATGGTGCCATCCCTGGACTGGTGGCTGTGGAGTGGTATAAGAAAGCAGACTGATAGCCAGGCAGAGTGGCACACACCTTTAATGCCAGCACTGGGGAGACACAGGCAGGCAGATAACTGTGAGTTCAAGGCCAACTGGTCTATATAGTAAATTCCAGCCAGGGCTACACAGAGAGACCCTTCTCACAGGGAACAAGCCTGAAAGTGGTATTTCTCCATGGCTTCTGTGTTAGTTACTGTATCCAGAAACAGAGGCAGATGGGCCTCTGAGAATGAGGCCAGCCAGGACTATATACAGAGACCTTTTCTCAAAAGCAAGCAAACAAACAAAAGATTTGCATAAAAGTTTTTAAAGTTGAAGAGATGTATAGAATATTGGTCCTCAGAAGGCTTAGCTACCTTTGATGGTAGAAAAACTTCTCACCTAGATCAACCTGGTCTATATAGTCAGGTAGGGTTACTTAATGAGACCCTGTCTCATAAAAAGTAATTAATTTTGCCTTGGATTTGGACAGAACTTCCAGTGATTTTTAAAATGGCTCTAAACACACTTCCTCCACTTTGTACTATGTATTTACGTGAAATGACGCTCACACCATTGACCTTTTTTTAGTTATTTTGTTTATGTGTATGGGTGTTTTGTCTGCAGGTATGTGTCTCAGATCTCCTGGGGTGGGACTTACCAACAGCTGTGAGATGCCATGTGGATGTGAGAACAGAACCTGTATCCTTTGAAAGAGCAGCCAGTGTTCTCAACCACTGAGCTAAATCTCCACACACATACCCCTGGTTTTTGTTGTTTGGTTGTTTATTTCTTTGAGACAGGGTTTCTCTGTGTAGCCCTGACTGTCCTGGAACTTGCTCTGTAGACCAGGCTGACCTCAAACTCAGAGATCTGCCTGCCTCTGCCTCCCAAGTGATGGGATTAAAAGGTGCACACCACCAAGGCCGGCACCATTGAGGATCTTAAAGTCCATTAAACATTGTTGATGCCCCATGTCCTGCAGCAGAAAATATCCAGCACGATTTCATTCTTTCTGTAGAAATAAATACCCACATTTGTCCTATTGCTGTGCAAACTTGTCCTCATCTTTAATAAGTAGTAAAATTATTGTGTGTAGCAAGGAACTCTGCACTGACGTCACACAATGGAAGGCCCTGTGAAGTGAGTTTAGAAGCCTCGCCATCCTAGGCTCATACCTGGGAGGAGGTGTTGGGATAGGGTCAAGAGCAGAGCCCTGTCCTAAGGGCTGAAGTAAGGAGACAAGTCTCTCCTGCTCATGCGGAAGTGCTATGCAGCGGGGAGAACCTCACCAATACTCAGTGCTATGTTCTCTTTCTCCAAATTCAAGGTATCAAGGCCCAGGAATCAGGAAGCGGAAACTTCTCAGGTGGAGGTGTGGTCTCTGGGAGGGAAATGAGCCCCACCGAGCAGAAGTGCTGGGGTTTCACTTCCTCTTTGGGATGCTGGTATCAGAACTGAATTAAGGGCATTAAGTCTCTTTCACCCACAGGGTCCCCCAGAGCATCGTCCTAATTGGCCTCCATGTCCTTGTCTCTCTCATGGGTATAAGGCCCATTCTCTACCTCACAATACAAACTGCCTTTAGCACACCTGCTTCTCCATAGGATTCTGCTTGGAACTGAGACCCACTGTCCCTGCCACAGCTTACGATGGCTGCAGCCCAACCATCATCACCCATCTTGTCTTCATCCTCCCGGTCATGTACTAGGCTCTGGCCATGGAAATCTTCCAGTTCTTCAAACCTTCCACATACTTTCTTACCTAGAACACACTCCTCCACTGGTGAGCTTACTGTCCCCTCCTCTAAGAGACTTCTGTCCCCACCACTGTACCTACTTCATCTGGTTTGTAACCACTGTGTGTCTCCAGGACAGGAGAGGGGGGAAAGGTGAGACATTTTCCTCACCCACTGTCCTGGCTACCGTTTATGTCAACTTGACCCAAGCTAGAGATATAGGAGAGGAGTAAGCATAAATTAAGAAAATGCCTCCATAAGATCAGGCTACGAGGCAGAGGCAGTGGATCTTTGAGTTCAAGGCCAGCCTGGTCTACAAAGTGAGTTACAAGACAGCCAGGGCTACACAGGGAAACCCTGTCTCAAAACAAAACAAAAAAGATCAGGCTGTAGGCACACACCTGTAGGACTTCTTCCTAAGTAGTGGTTGTGTGGGAGGGGACAGCCCATTGTGGGTGGGGCCACCCATGGTCGGGTGGTTCTGGGGTCTATAAGAAAGTAGGCAGAGCAGGCTATAGGAGCAAGCCCAGCATCAGCCCTTCTCTGTGGTCTCTGCATCAGCTCCTGCCTCCAGGCTCTTACTTCCCTAAGATGATGAACAGTGATGTGGAAGTGCTTCTTGGACATGCTGTTTCATCACAGAAATAAAAGCCCTGTGAGAGACATGTTGATATCCCTGTAACAAAAGACAGGTTAAAGCTAGAAAGATGGCTTAGTGAATAATAACACTGGCTGATCTTCCAGAGGACCCAGGTTTGAGTTCCAGCACCCACATTGGCTCACAGCTACCTGCAACTCCAGCTCCAGAGGATTTGATTATGTCTTTTAGCCTCCCCTGGCGCCCAGAGGCGCACAGGTGGACACACACAAAAAAAATAAAGGTAAATTAAAGACTACTGTCCACAGCCTAATCAGCGTTTTCTGTGGTGCGGAATGCTTTAGAAGTGAAGG